ACTTGCCTGATTTGGCATGCCTAGAGTAAACTACGAAATGGATTTTACAAATCAAGAGCTAGGCTTTCTATCAGAATTTTGAATGCTATTGGAGTGCATGAGGGTGCGTTAAAACCGATTGTATTTACTTAGATCTTCATAGATTCTTAGAGTTTCATATTTTGGTGTTTGATGGGATATAACTAGAACTTCTAAGGCATAAAAAATTTATTAAATGATGAGCATAAAATGAAATTTTCAATTGTCTCTAAATCTTGTCTGTGTGCTGATATGACAATCATTATTAAAGTGTTTTACAAGTTTTGAGTGTTGACAACCATTTTTGGGGATAAGCCTCCCGATATCATTGTGGGATCTAGTTCTTCATTTTCAGTGATTTCTCTTAATGTTTTTACTTCAACTTTAGTAATTGGTTTTTATGCGTGAATGAATTTTGTCAAGTTTGAAAAGAGAGATTTATTCATATTGTAAGGGCAATCTTTGCTAAAATTTTCTATTAGTTTAATATACTTCTCATAAATTTCAAGTTTTAGGAACAATCAAATCATTTCTTGGAATGAACGAAGCTTGCTCGGTGTTTTTATATTAAAATAGATTGATCTTTGCTTTAGTTTAGAGTTGTTAACTTGAGGACTGTGGTTAATTTGGAAACTTTCATTATGCATCTCATCTTAAATTCCATTAAAAAAAACCCTAGAATCTTAACCTTCTTGCAACAAAGTAATATCAGGGCATATGGTTACATCATTATGTTGATTAAAAGGACATAATACTTAGGTCAATTAGAAATTAATAAAAGATGAAACACAAACAAAATTAAATAAGTTATTGGTCTAAACAAATACAACATAGCAATCAAAAGTATCAAAATTACATACATATATTTGAAGGAAGATATCTCTAGAGATATATTCATAATGGATTGATAATTCGATTAGGGTAGTAATGTTGTATGCATTTTTCTTATTTTAGGTGTTGGCTTGTTTCCTTTATTTTCCCTAAAATAGTTTATATTAGCATGTATATATTGCATTGGATCAATAAGAAAATAATTATTTTATGCCACTCGTCCTTGAATAGTATCCCTGAAGAGAAATCCTTATCTATTCCTTTTAAACATTTCAAACATATTCAACACAAAATGCATGCATAATAAAATTTTATCTTATTGAAAAAATTAAAGTTCCAAAATATCCTTTTAAAGATGAATTAGAATAACTTGCAATAAAAATTGAATTATTTTATTGTTTTGAAGTCTAAATTTGCACATACATTAGCATATATAATTAAGCATGCATCTAAACAAAAGCTGAATGAATTTGAAATTGAGTTTAAGTATAAATCTAAACCTCAATTAGAATATGAACATGCCATTCAAATTGAACCTGCAATTAAAAATTGGTAACTTGTGCATTGTGATTTTTATGTATGTTTTCATCATGCATCCATCCAATGATGCATTTGCAACCCCAATATACTTAATCCTCATGCATCACATAAATAGTTGATCCAATTTTGTGTGGCATTTATATTGAGAAATCAAGCTTAAAGCCTAGCTTCACATTATATGTGACTTCAATTTATATTAGCAACTTAGGAAAGCTTATAACCTCAATTTTGTAGCTAAAAACAACTAATTTATTATGTTTAAGCAGGATTCATATAAAACATTGTTGCAATGACCTCCAGTGCTAATCCAACAAATTTTATCGTGCTTTAACTAGAGACAACTAAAAGATTGTTGCAATTAAAGCATTTTTGCAATAATTTTAAATTGCTTACAATGGAGACAGATGGACTGATAGATATACGTAAGTTTTTGCAGAAAACTTCTAAATTTAATGAAAAAAATGGCAACCTTGATTAATAGCGGTATAACCACTAAAGGTCTATTTTTTTCTTAAAGCACAAAACTATAAAGGTGTTACCATCACAAACCCCCAACAGCAATTGGGAGATTACTGTGCTTAAATTCCGCGATGAACAATAAACAAGACTCTTACGTTGATTTCATGATCCTCTCCGTCCTTGTCCAAGTACATAGGACTGCAATCCTTCGGGCTATTAACGTTTCCGTGCTCATCCACTTTAGCATCGCCAAGCATCGTCAAGCACTGGTGCCATTCTTTCAGCTCCTCCTAACGAAAAGAACAAAGCATTTAAAGTGTTAATTCATAGAACTGCAGATTGATGGATGAACAATGGAGATTTTAGAAGGTACGAGGCACTTGGCGGCAAGGTAGCGGAAGCGCAGGTCGCGAAGGACGATGGAAGAGGAGTTGAGTAGGTGGAGGGCGCGGCGGTACTGGTGCCCAAGGAAGAGGGCCTGAGCCTGCATGTAAATGTCGGCGGGATCAGAAGTTGCCGCCGCCACCTTCTCGGCAAAAAAGATGGCGGAAGAGTAGAGATGTTTGCTAAGGCAATCCCTCACCAATCCCCTCAGCCTCTCCACTTCCTCCTCCTTCATCTGTTCTTGCCCCTACAAAAAAGTTGCTGTCTCTTTGCTCCACTCTCGCTTCTTTCTTCCCTTCTGATAAACCCTCACTTTCGCTTGTGAAATCAAAAAATTGGAGAGGGAAAGGTTTTTGGAATTAGGGCTTGGAGAACAGAAGCGAATAAATATGTACAGGCTCTTGGGCTGGCCCGGCTAAAACTTAAGGCCAGCATTTAAATTTGCAGTTCTTTGGGCGCGGCGCAAAATATGCAATTAGAATTCATTTAAAAAGAAATAATGCTCTCCTATAGTCAGTGACCTATCAATTATTTTAGGCCTCATTTGGGACTGCTTTTTTTTACCATTTCTTCAAGCAGCTTTTTTGCGCTAAAAAGTTATTTTAAATTATTAGTTAGTTCACTTCTGAGATAAATTAAACTAGTCCAAATTCTAGCGAAAATTATTTTTATTGCAAATAAGTACTCTTGCCGCCATCTGTCGTCAAACAATATCAAAGTATATATTTTACACTACATTCCTTTTATATTGTATTTATTTAACATTTCACTCATTTTACAACCAACAAAATAGCCCCTTAATATGGTAAGATTAAACGCATAGATTAGTTTAGTCCATGTTATACATATTATCCCCCTTAAAAAAATGTGGTCCCTAAAGCACTTTAATTATGGAATAGTTATCGGTACTTTGCAATCATCTCTTCTTCAATCTCCTATTTTGCTTCTCATTCTAACTTGTTATTTCAAAGCACTCTAACAAATAAAATAGATTGATGATGAAGCTATTGAATCTTACATTCCAAAATGTACTCTGATATCTCTTCATGACTCAACTTTTATTAAAATATTAGGGCGTCTACAGCCGGACTCCAAACAACTGTAAGGCGTAGCTAGTTTGCTCCATTCGAACAACAAAAAAATCACTAATAGGTGGCGGGTGAATAGTGCAACGCCATTATTGGCATAGCAATATTCAACTACGCGATTTTTTTTGTCTCAACCGGATTTGTCAAATAAACGTGTGAAAGAGGAAAAAGACCGTTACCTTCGCAAAAGCACGTAAAAATGGAGTTCAATTGGAGATCAATCACGGCGTATTTGAATTTCACCGCATTTTGGAGTGAAAAATGAGATTTTCGGCTAGAAATGCCCTTAGTGGTTTAGACTAATTAATATGAGAATCTTCGTTGTACACGTAGCATTACAAAATGCATACTGGAAAAATATTATGCCTACATACAAATCCTGGAGGAAGTGCCAATCTATATGAAACTTTGCCGAACTCTTTTGATTACTTTCAAAAGATCCAATGAATTCAAAGTTTGGACTGCTGTTTTGGAATAAACATATGTAAGAATTATATTGAGGTTTTACTTTTAAATTTTAAAATTTGAATTTATCTAATTAAAGAAAATAATGGATGGTTGTTTTAATTTTAAATTTAGACCTGATCTTAAGTATGATATATGCCATACACTACGGTTAATTTATATATATACTAATTTTTAAGAATCTCTTAATTAATAATCAATGCAAATTGCCTTTTGCTGAAATTTTTTTGATATAGTGCATATCTAATAGTACGATCTATTATGGTCAAATTATAATACTTAAATATTTTTAAATTAATTTCTTTGATGAATTCACTCGTGTATGTGCACGCTAGTTATTTCACCAATTTATTTAAATGAAATAAATATATTTAAGACTAAATGTGAAAAGAATGATACTAACATCCGAGTCATGTCGCGCTTAATTCAAATTGCCTCTAGCTCATTTTAAAGCTTTGATCTTATGAATTCAAAGCTTGGACTTTTTTCTTGAGCTACAGACTTCATTTGAGTTTTGCATGTTCCATAGTTATACATAACATATGCATTTTAACTTTTCAATGTACAATTGTAGTTGTTATTACTAAGCCCTACACACATTTCAAAAATAATTTAACCAACTTATAGCTTTAATCAACAAAACTACATGATGTAATCTAAGCTCTTGAGGTCAAGATAGTTGGGCCAAAACATAGGCTTCATTTGGGACAACTTTCTTCCTAGAAAGCTGTTTTAAAAAGCAGGAAGAAAATCATCCCAAACGAAGTCATAATCATGATGAAAAAGAAAAAGACATTTGGATTTATATAAGTACAACCTATATGCATAAAAATACTCATGCGGAAAGTCTAAAATTAGAGGATATAGAGCAAACATTCTTAAAGAGAAAAGAAAATTAATCAAACTGCAAATACTGATTTTTTACTGTTTCTTAAAACAATTTTTTAGTACACATATTTTTAAATTTATATAAAAAAAGTGTTTTAAAAAGCAATAAGAAAACCATCCCAAACAATGCCTTAGGCTTCATTTGCGATAGCTTTATTGCTTTTACAAACAAATTTTTAATTCAAAAAATATTTGTACTAAAATATTACATGAAAAAACAGTAAAAAAATTATCCGAAATGAAATTTTAAATTACAATTAGAACTCTAGTATATTAGAAATAGGATTAATAAACAACTATTAGGTTACTCCAATAATGATATAAAATTATGAGTTCAAATCACAAAAATTAATTTCTTTACCATACATAATACGCAAAAACGTACATAAGGTTGCCCAAATGAACAGTTTCAAGTTCACAAGCATTACCAGAATTCATTAAAAGCTGACGGGCTCAAGGGTTTTCAACACCTTCAAGCCTAACTCAAACAAGAGCTGGAGGAATTATTATGTGTGGAGTCCGGATAAGAAGAATCGTCTAGAATTACTGTGTATTTACTATGTATTTGTTGAATCTGAGTATTTATAAATACTCATCAAATACACATCAAATCAACAAATACTCAGCAATACTTACAATTATATATTTGCTGAGTATTGTATTTACAAATACGCAGCAAATCTGGACAATTCTCCCTGTCTGGACTCCACACAAAATAATTTCTCCAAGAATTGATATGAATAATTTTTTTATTTCATATTGCGATGAAATTTTTTAAATAAAGAGCTGCGAACTAGTACTAATGAAGTATCAAGGAACAATCAGGATTGCTTTATTAGTATTCTAATAAGGAGAATCAGATATATCTCACATATCATATCAGGCCAATCCACTCTCTAATGTAGTCCAGCAAAGCTAATTTTATAGCTCTCATTTCACATTGAAAAAGGTGTAGGAGAGGATCAGGTTGTTGATGCCATCCATTTTGGGATCCGTCGCAAACTCGGGGTCAATATAGAAAAACACCTGCAGAATACCACATGGCATTGTTAAGGAGAAAATTAAGGAATTAGCTAACAACAGTACTTACTGGCATATCTATTTGTTCTCCAGGGAGCAGAGTCTGCTCCTCGAAGCAGAAGCATTGTATTTTGTTGAAGTATATGGCAGCCTGCATGACATGAAAGAAGAGCCACAATTGTAAAAGCGGTAGGTAAATAAGCAAAATTTGATTTAAACTCAAGAGAGAAAAAATAAAAAATAAAAAAGAAGATTAACGGCCCGAAAAACTCTGGACAATTTATATTGATGATCATCCTTAAGCACCCATCGTAGATTTCATTATTATTTGATTGTGGATAACATACAATCACAACTTTTCTAGTAAAATAAAGACGTTGCCACCCTATTAAATACGAGCAAAGACAGTTGAAAATACCATAAAATCCTCAAAATGGTTTTAATTAAATTACCTGCAAATATTGGATACCTTATGAGAAACCTGCCCCCAAACCCTTAGAAGGCGCACCCTACAACTAAGGCTTCATTTGGAATGTTTTTTTTAATGTTTTCTAAAGCAGTTTTCTAGCACAAAAATTTATAGTTTAAAAAAATTTTGTACTAAAAACCTGCTTTAGAAGACATTAAAAAAGCTACCCAAACGAAGCCTAAATTTGCATAGCGAGATTTATTCAAAGGATAAAACGTTGGCGTCTCAAAATAATAAAAAGAATGCACCGACGAAGATGATGAATTGCGAAGGCATTAATCCTACTTCGGAGTATCTATTTTAATGATCTTACGAATGTAATTCATCATCTTTGAATATAGTATTGCACGTTCTAAATCAAAATGAAAAAAAAAAA